AACCCGAGAGGGATTAAAACCAACGAAGTGTGGCAAATGGACGTCACTCATGTCACAGCATTTGGCAGATTGAGATATCTGCATGTAACGATAGACACTTATAGTCACATGATTTGGGCTACACCGCAGCCTGGGGAAAAAGTTCGGGATGTACGACGTCATCTTGCCAGTTGTTTTGCAGTAATGGGAGTACCACAAACCATAAAGACAGATAATGGTCCAGCCTATGTTAGTGGGCCACTTAAGCGATTTATGGAACTGTGGGACATTAAGCATATAACTGGTATTCCACATTCACCAACTGGTCAAGCTATAGTAGAAAGAGCTAATGGAACAGTTAAGCAGTATTTGGAAAAGTTTAAAGACATTACAGATATTAGAGAGAGGGTGGATAAAACCTTATTTGTTCTCAATCATTTGTGTGTATTTGGAGATGATGAGGAACTACCCGTGACACGTCATTACATTAAGTCTGAAAATGATAATAAATGTATCATGAGAGTACTGTACCAAGATATGAAAACGGGACAATGGCTGGGGCCTGCTGATGTGATTTATATGGGGCGAGGTTATGTGTGTATCTCTTCCCCTACAGGGCCAACCTGGGTTCCTAGTCGATGTGTTAAACCAGCCATTGAAGAAAAGTCATCAAGTACGAATAACAGCAACCATGGCTGATCTAACGGCACAAGGGATTTTGGTTGCATTATCTTTGACAATGACGGTTGGACGTAATAGTGCCATCCTAAGCAAAATCGATCCTCAAACCAATACGTGGGTCACTTGGGCAAATCAAACCAGACAAAGTTCATTTTGCCTATTCCTCGCTTCTGCGTCTGATCCTTTTGTTGATGAGTTGATTATGTTTGAAATGGTTAAGGGATCATACGCAAAAAAAAAAAAAAAAAACTGTAGTACAAGATAGTTGGTTTGAAGGTTGGTTTAAATCTGTTTTTGGGAACATGGGTGGATGGTTTTTTCTTCGTCAAAGAGGAACTTCGTTTTCTACTTATAGTTATATTGATTATAGTTGCTGCAAAATAAAAACGGGGGAATTGTGGAGGAATGGTTAAGTGAGGCAGGACATGTGGATGTTGAGCAGTTGGGAGACAATGGGCTGGTGAAGCACCGTACTCAACTCACATGAGCCTTGGCACGTATGCAGCTGGCTGAGAGCCAATCAGGCTCAAGGACACGATGCCCTTGGGCCATCGGGGGGGGGGGGGGGGGGGGGGGGGGGAAAGTCCCTAAGGCGGGACAGGTAGCCAAAAGAAGGAGGACCAGACTGAAAAGCCCGGGAAGTGTTAACCAATCCTGAGCTTAGTTTCTGCAATATGTATGAGTTGATTATGTTCAAACTAGACAAAAGGCGACTGAGCTATCCATTAAAGTTGAAGTTCACTGTTCACTCATATTGAGCGTCTGTGTCTTCCTTCCGTCGACAACATTAGACTTTAAAACACTGACCACCAACCTTTAAGTCTAACTGGTCAGCAGGTTTTTCCAGGCAGTGGCAGCCTGTACCTGCCCATTTTGGCCAGAAGGAGTTACTAGAGACCATATGAAACCCTTCGTTAGGTCAAGCATGCACTGCTCTGCCAGGTGATTAAATGACTGACTAGATGAAAAGGCAATCAGGTTGCTCATGCTTAACTTTAAATGAGATGCTTACTCAGTGCTTTTGCATCCTTTTTGCACTCGGAAGCACTATTACTCCTCACCAGGAGGGTATCGAATAGCTTGCTTCTGCCAAGACAAAACGCCAAAAGGGGAAGAGCAAAGAACACACTTATAACTCTGCAGAGGCTGTATTTGCTTTTCCTAAGAAAAAATTACATAATACTACACTAAAATATAGGTTGGGATGCTTGGATATCACTTGCAGAAAACACAAAATAAACCCTTTAACTGTAGTAATGTCTTAGCAAAAAGACTGCTACATTTTTAGGTTCATACTAAAATTAACATCCTGACAGAAAATGAAGAGAAATGTGAGTATATAACTGACTTTTTTTCCTCACAAATTATAATTTTTAAACACTTTAAATTGTAAATTCTCTTTCTTAGTCTTCCTTAGACTCAATAACTTTCTTTAAAGAGGAAGGGATGGAGAGCACCTGGAGAAAGAATGAAAGACTGGTACAGGACATCAGGAAAACCTCTGAGATTAGTGAAAAGCACTGGATCACACTGCATATGAAATGGGGTGTTTTTATTATTAAAAGTTCTTTCTAACTTGAATACTTGTCTTGAAATGACTTAGAATACACTCCATCTTCCCTTGAAGCAAGGAGGTCTCTTTCAACTACTTTTCTTAATTTCTGCTTTTAATGATAACAGAGCTATGCATACTAAATATGTATAAAGTAGGTTATTTGAGCATGAAAGTCCAGATGAGTGGTTGTCTCACAAATATGATCATACCATATAATGCCTACAGGATACCTAAGGGGAAAAAAAAGCAAACAGCATCACCAACACAGTAAACAGCTTTAATGATGGTTTTGGTTTATAAACCAACTAGAAAAAGAAATGTTGGGGTGGGTGGAGGAGGAAGAGGCGGAGAACTCAGATGTTGCAGGTTTGGCAACATATTGTGTCATTCTAATGACACAAGTGTGACTCTTCCATTAAAGGGAACAGACACGAAAGAATGCAAAAGGAAAAAATTACATAGTACCATAACCACTGAATTATATACTCATAACCTTTAAACCTGAACATAAACAAATCTGACTTTGCAATTTGAAAGGGTTATCAGCTTAGGTGTCTGGATTATGGTTACTCTTTAATACAGAACACTGCAGAACATTGTAAAAGTATCACTTGTTGAGGTAGACTTCAAACTGAGAATGTTACCACACTGATGGAAAGAAAATAATCTGAAACTGAAAATACTGACAGATACTCCTTAAAAAAACAAGGAGCAATTGTTTACTCATGTTTCTAGTATATATTAAAAAAAAAAAAAAAAAAAGGAATTCAGCATGTTCTTTAAGATGCTTTCATCCCATATATATGAGCAGGTACACTAGAAGCTACCAGTAATAAACAGCACTAAGAAACCACTAGTCAGAAGTCATACATGTACATATTGTATTCTAATTGACAGGAGATACAGCCTGTACTGTGAAGTCTCTTGGCCTTTTTATTGTGCAATGGTTTGGAAATGCAAGTAAGAGAGCAGAAATTCTCTCTAAATAAATATATACATACACTGAGTATGTGTATAATATATGCACTAAGTTCATATTGAAATTGTGCTGCATTGCTTGGCAGAAGACAATGTAAAATATTATTTGGTTTATGACTAGAACTGGTGTGGCTAGTTTTTTGTCCTGTAACAAGAAGAAATCAACATTTTTTGCCATTTTAGAAAAATCTTTCTTGCCCTTAGATGCAGAATAAGTTTGATTTGAAGCTTATATAACTGAAGCTAGCATTTCAAACCAGTCTAAAGGTGCAAAATCCCAGACCACAGATTAGCACTGAAAAACTATCTAGATTGATTGATTTAATATTACAACAAAATATGAACACATAAATCAGAAAGCCATGGCAACTCTTAAAGAGAGCATGGTTTTGTCTTTCTTCAAGCAACGTTTGTTGTCATTTTCATTGCACTGATTATGAGATAAAAGAAACAAACTGATGTAATAGAAAACTATAAGCCACAGTTACATTCTTCTAAGGGGTGATTACCAGAATTCACCTGAAATATCAGGTTGGCTGGAAGACAGAAAAATTTGTAGCTCAAATAGGAGAAGATACAGGCAAATCTAATAGCTTAAGTATATTAGTAAGTAAAGATTGTCTAATTAGGCTTTGCTAATCTGTATTCCTTACAAACAGCTTCAAATGAAAGATTGTAGAAGTGACGATTATGTTCCAACATGCAGCTTTAGCCTGAGCTTCCCATATGACATTTCAGTCTTCGGTACTTGAAAAAAACTCGACATCTCACTTGTCAGGCACCCCAAGTTTATTTTATATTAGACATTTCCTATAAATATGAATAGTTCTGATTTCTATATACTGAGAACAGGCCTTCAACGGACAATTACGTTAAATTACCATCGTTATAGTACTTTCATATTTTTTTCCTGTTTGCAAGCATACATCAGGTTTATTCTCCGGGCCAGCGACCATACTACAGAACAGATCTCATCCAACATCTGCTACTAGAGCTATATGTGACACTGTTCTTTGGAAAGTGATGATATACTTCCTCCATGGCCTTCTTCTGGCGCCTTTTCTAGGGTGTTCCTCCACTTAATGTAGATTTGCTAAAATAATTGTCATTTTAAGGATTAACATTCCATATTAACCAAGTGAAAGCTTCTCCTTCTGTGGTTGAGGGACCAAAACTACCAATGCATATGCTTTTACAGTACAGGAAGTCTTGCTCATCACCATAAACAATGTGGTAAAACAAAGATCTAATTCAGAAAAAAATATATATATAAATATATTGTAACCTTTATTTATCCACACCTAAGAAAAGTGACGGTACCAAGTACCTGCTGTTGTTGCTACCAGTAAAGGAAAACAGCGCAACTGAAGAAAGCATTTCCTGCTTCACGGGAGCACGAAAGAGCTGGCGATATACTGCACGGCACCGCTGCCAAGGGCAGGCAGCAGGCGCGGAGGTGCAGGTAACAGACAGACCACAGGCACCCCAGCACCACGCGCTCCCCACCCAATCACATCGTTAACGAACACCACAATAACCTCACCCAATAACCCAATGTTACGCGCATCTATTAAAACTTTCGCATTTTTTGTGCCAGACTAAGATACTAAAAACCCTTTTGAGAAGCCAAGACGGCGTCTGCGAAGGCAACCCCCCCTCCAGACCTCCCTCGGAGAGCCCCCCCTCAGGGCCAGGGGGCTCTGAGGGGACCCCTGAGGAGGGCGCTGAGGTGGGGGGGGACGGGTGACAGCGGCGCTAGGCCTGGAGCCCACAGGTGGGCCTTCAGCGGGCCGCGTCCCGCCACTCCTACCTGGGGGCTGTCCTCCAGCGCTTCCTCGATGGGCAGCTTGTCGATGCCGGGCATGACGGGGGTTGACGGGGAGTGAACGGCGCCGATGCTACTCCCGCTGCCCTCTGGCGGCCCGCTGGACTGCGCCCCTCCCCCCGCCGTCACCGCACCGCCCCGCGCCGCGCCGGATGTCCCGCCCACCCGTCCGACCTACCTATTGGCTCTGCTGCCAGTCTTCTCTATTGGTCAGCGGCTCCGTCTGTCTGCCAGTAGGGCTGCCTGGGGGGAGGTGCCGCGACTGGGGGGACTGGAGCTGTTCCCGCCTCGCACTGAGGCGGCTGTCGCCCGCGGTCGTCGGGTGAAGGTGTTGAGAAAAATCCAAGAGATTTCCTTTTTTTAATTATTTTTTAAGTGTTCCGTGCCTTAAGCCATGGCCCCAGGCCCACTGGGCTTTACTCTCACCGCTGTAGTCCCCTCAGAGAAAAGGGGTGTGTTGAGGGGTCGGCGCCTTGTGTCCCTGTCAGGGCGGCGGCGGCTGCTGTGCCCTTTGAGTGCCACCGCACCCAGAGGGGGCTCCTCTCATCCCTGTCACGTCTCTCTCCTCCACCCACCAGGGTTTTCTCAAGAAATAATATATATCCCTACCAACCTCGTATTTCTTGTAACTGTGTCTTAAAAACACCAAAAGCCCCCAAATATGCTGCTGATCTCAATTTTAACCCTTCTAAAGCAGGATTGTAATTCCCCCTAGTGGCCCCCTGCTTTCTTAGCCTGCATGGACCTGCTGCTACAGGTTGGTGCCCAGTTCTAGGTGCTTCCAACAACTATGGGTGCCTGCTAGAATTAGGGTGTTTAGACTCAGATTACTGTGTTTTAAATTATTCCTTAGGGTTACTTTACATTTTAAGGGTAAATCTCTTAGGGGGCATAGGTTAAATACAGCTTGATAATTGAGAATATCTACCTAATTTGTCACTTATTTGAAAACATGAAAATATGCTGTGTCCAACAAGGCTCCACACTTATTCTCACTCTTAAAACACTAATAAAAATAAAAGCAAAATGTACAGCACAATTGAAATCGCAAGCAGATTAAACTCTGAAATTAGTTGATATTTCACTTCTGTGTCTTAGAAAGCAGCTGGTAACTTTATAGATACATTTTTTTATTAAGAAGGAAATAAAAAAGGCTGTTTTTCCTTTGCTGGTTTTGCCTTTTTGTGGCCAGGTGAGCCTGGTATAAAATTAGGTTAGAAAGTATACCAAATCACCCTGTGGAGCCAATGTTAATAAATTATTTTGCAGACTTGCAATGAAGACCTTGCTTAATGATGTATCAGGTCATGCTTTACATTCAAAAGCAAATAAAGCAAAGAGTTTTATGGTGTTAAAAGATATCAGGCAATCAAAGTTGGTGAGGTTTTTGGTTGGTTGGTTTGTTCCCCCCACCCAGAAGGGAGTAGTGAAGAATTTGCCCAGTTACAGCTCTGTTCAGGTGGTTCTTTCACCAGCTCAGCTGGTGACTCAGGTGGCTGAGGCAAGCCACACTGCTTGTCTTCTTTATTTCCCTATCATGTAAGGGTAATCATACAGGGTTATCTCAAGGTATTTTGAAAACTAAGTCTTGTATCTTCTTGTTTGGTCTTCTGCATTGAAGAATTACTTGCTGAGCTGTAACTGGACCTGCAATTATTATCTGAGAGAACACCATCATTGGCTCATGATGTGTATATATGTGCACAGCTTCCTGGTTTTGAGATTTGTTGATTTCTGACTAATTTTTACAGATGTCTTCTGTAAGAAATGCTCTCTGTTTTCTAATATACTAGATGCATTCCCTTAGCAGAATCCAGGAAGGTAGTAAGTAACTTTAAATAAATTGTTTATCGTTACCCTTGTATTTTTATAGCTGTAAGTGGCAGAAGAAAGGCATGTTTATTTAGTTCCTTTAAACTAGGTAAGAAGGGGGACGGGACTGAAACAAAGCTTGTTAGAGCTGTACCAGGGGGAACAATGGCAAGGCTGGGAGAGAAGGCAATGGCCCAGCTGAAGTGCATCTACACTAATGCACGCAGCATGGGCAACAAACAGGAGGAGCTGGAAGCCATCGTGCGGCAGGCAGACTATGACTTGGTTACCATCACGGAAATGTGGTGGGACCACTCTCATGACTGGAGTGCTGCAATGTCTGGCTATAAGCTCTTCAGAAGGGACAGGCAGCACAGAAGGGGTGGTGGTGTGGCTCTCTATATCAGAGAGTTTTGATGTCGTGGAACTTGAGGCTGGGAATGATAAGGTTGAGTCCCTATGGGTTAGGATCAGCGGGAAGGCTAACACGAACAAGGCAAGCATCCTGGTAGGGTTCTGTTATACACCGCCGAACCAGGATGAGGAGACTGATGAGGAGTTCTACAGGCAGCTGACAAAAGTTGTGAAATCATCAGCGCTAGTTCTCATGGGGGACTTCAACTTCCCAGATATATCCTGGAAGCACAACACAGCCCAGAGAAAGCAGTCTAGGAGGTTTCTGCAGAGTGTGGAAGATAACTTCCTGACGCAGCTGGTTAGTGAGCCTACCAGGGGAAGTACTCTGCTAGACCTGCTGATCACAAACAGAGGAGGACTGGTGGGAGATGTGGTGGTTGGAAACTGTCTTGGGCAGAGTGACCATGAAATGGTAGAGTTCTCCATTCTTGGAGAAGCCAGGAAGGGGACCAGTAAAACCGCTGTATTGGACTTCTGGAGGGCCAACTTTGAACTGTTCAGGACACTGGTTGGCAGAGTCCCCTGGGAGGCAGTTCTGAAGGGCAGAGGAGTCCAGGAAGGCCAGGTGCTCTTCAAGAAGGAAATCTTAATGGCACAGGAGCAGTCAGTCCCCACGTGCCCAAAGACAAGCTGCTGTGGAAGAACACCAGCCTGGCTGAACAGAGAATTGTGGCTTGAGTTTAGGAGAAAAAGGAGGGTTTATAATCTTTGGAAAAGAGGGCAGGCCACTCGGGAGGACTATAAGAATGTTGCGAGGCAGTGCAGGGACAAAATTAGGAAGGCCAAAGCTCATCTGGAGCTCAATCTGGCTACTGCCATTAAAGACAAAAAAATACATATTTACAAATACATCAACACAAAACGGAAGACTAAGGAGAATCTCCATCCTTTACTGGATGCGGGGGGGGAACTTAGTTACAAAAGATGAGGAAAAGGCGGAGGTGCTTAATGCCTTCTTCGCCTCAGTCTTTAGTGACAAAACCAGTAGATCTCTGGATAACCAGTACCCTGAACTGATGGAAGGGGATGGGGAGCAGAATGTGGCCCTCGCTATCCATGGGGAAATGGTTGGCGACCTGCTACAGCATTTGGATGTACGCAAGTTGATGGGGCCAGATGGGATCCACCCAAGGGTACTGAGAGAACTGGCAGAGGAGCTGGCCAGGCACTTTCCATCATTTATCAGCAGTCCTGGCTATCGGGGGAGGTCGCAGTAGACTGGTGGCTAGCAAACATGACACCCATCTACAAGAAGGGCTGGAGGGTAGACCCGGGGAACTATAGGCCTGTCAGTTTGACCTCAGTGCCAGGAAAGCTCATGGAGCAGATTATCTTGAGTGTCATAACACAGCACCTGCAGGGCAAGCAAGCAATCAGGCCCAGTCAGCATGAGTTTATGAAAGGCAGGTCCTGCTTGATGAACCTGATCTCCTTCTATGACAAAGTGACGCGCTGGGTGGATGAGGGAAAGGCTGTGGATATGGTCTACCTTGACTTCAGTAAGGCTTTTGACACCGTTTCCTACAGCATTCTCCTCAAGAAACTGGTTTCTTCTGGCTTGGACTGGTGTATACTTAGTTGGGTTAAAAACTGTCTGGATAGCCAGGCCCAAAGAGTTGTGGTGAATGGAGTCAAGTCCAGCTGGAGGCCGGTCACTAGTGGTGTTCCCCAGGGCTCAGTACTGGGGCCAATCCTCTTTAAGATCTTTATGGATGATCTGGATGAGGGGATCGAGTGCACCCTCAGTAAGTTCGCAGATGACACCAAGTTAGGTGCATGTGTCGATCTGCTCAAGGGTAGGGAGGCTCTGCAGGAGAATCTGGATAGGCTGCACCGATGGGCTGACGTCAACTGTATGAAGTTCAACAAGGCCAAGTGCCGGGCCCTGCACCTGGGGTGCAATAACCCCAAGCAGAGCTACAGGCTGGGAGATGAGTGGTTGGAAGTGGTTCTGCCTGGCGGAGAAGGACTTGGGAGTACTGGTGGATAGTCAGCTGAATATGAGCCAGCAGTGTGCTCAGGTGGCCAAGAAGGCCGACAGCATCCTGGCTTGTATAAGAAGCAGTGTGTTCAGCAGGTCTAGGGAAGTGATTGTCCCCCTCTACTCAGCCCTGGTGGGGCTGCACCTTGAGTACTGTGTTCAGTTTTGGGTCCCTCACTACAAGAAAGACATTGAGGTGCTCGAGCAAGTCCAGAGAAGGGTGACGAAGCTGGTGAGAACAAGTCCTATGAGGAGCAGCTGAGGGAACTGGGTTTGTTCAGCCTGGAGAAAAGGAGGCTCAGGGGTGACCTTATCACTCTCTATAAGTACATTAAAGGAGGCGGTAGCGAGGTGGGGGTTGGACTATTCTCCCATGTGCCTGGTGACAGGATGAGGCGAATTGGCTAAAGTTGTGCCATGGGTGTTTTAGGTTGGATATTAGGAAGAACTTCTTTACTGAGAGGGTTGTTAGGCATTGGAATGGGCTGTCCGGGGAAGTGGTTGAGTCACCATCCCTGGAGGTCTTTAAAAGACCTTTAGATGTTGAACTTAGCGATATGGTTTAGTGGAGTACTGGTTAGTGGTAGGTCAGAGGTTGGACTCGATGATCTTGAGGTCTCTTACAACCTAGACAATTCTGTGATTCTATGAAATGAGAAGAACACCTCTTAGAAAACTAAATGTTTTGTAGAACTAAAAACAAAACAGTATCAAACATCTTTAATATGTAGAAATGTGCTTTGGTGTCTCAGCTGGTATTTAGCATGAAAATGCTAGTTTCTGTTGATCTTAATGATTCAGTTTAATGATTCAATTCATTGTGGTAGCAAGAGGGAACTTTTTAAAAATAATTCTATTGTGTATCAGGGCTTCTTTTAACTACTAGCTTGTTTTTTTTTTTAATAGATCTCTTGCATTGAAACATT